CCAAATAGTCTACGTTGGAGAGCAGAAATTAAGGTTGTGTCCAGTCGGGCTCTGGGTCAATGAATGTTAACCAGCAAGTTGTATTTCAGAATTTCTATTTGTTAACAAAGCCAGCAGATAAACCAAGAAAACAATAAGAACAAAAGCAATTGCTTAACAAACGAAACCTAAAGAGCAAAAAGAGTATTAGAGAAACTCCTATTACTATTAGGCCGCCCCACGGTAAATCCTCACCCTCCTCCCCTTCGTCCTCTCTCAGGCTGTCCAGAACGGCAGCGCGTTGACACACGGGATTCTCTGACACTTTCATCTTTACATGAGCGCATTCCAATTGACGTTCCTCATAGTTCCTCAGAATTTTAGTGATAATGCTTTTATCATGAGGCCACAGTAGCGAATCAGATACTCGTTTCTCTCAATGGAGTCTCCCATGAAATTGGCCAGTGCTGTCGCCTACGTAAATTTTGTGCATGAAAATGCACACATCATTAATTAATTCATTTACCCTGTACTCCGTTCTCATATATCTCTACTAGCCTGACAAAAATATATTCGAAAGCATACGTATGCTCGCCAACTGGCTCCCCGAATTCTTTAATGGGACTTTTCGCAGCTGTGCGATAAAATAGCCTGAACTGCCCCCTTGATTGTTCCTTCAGTTGTCGATATACATTATCCATTGCAGATTTTTATTCGCGTTACAGTCACTGGCATATGACACAGATATAAATGCCGGAATACGACTTTCATTCTCACAACTAGGTTAGACTAGTATGCTCCATAGCGTTATGTTGTTTTACTTATTTGGAATAACTGCAAACTATACAAAAGTCTTTTCCTTTTCACACACATGGTTTAGTGTATGGCGCAGGACTGTCGGAAATGGTTTCATAACGAGTTAACAGGGATGGAGGCAGAAAAGCTTCTTATAGCAAAGGGAGTTCCTGGGAGTTTTTTGGTTCGCCAGAGTCACAGCAGTCCAGGAAATTTTACATTATCTGTCAGGCGACAGGATTCTTTTGCTCACATACGCATTCAAAACACAGGGGACTTTCTAAGCATCTATGGTGGTGAAAAATTCGCAACCCTCACTGAATTGGTTAACTACTATCGAGAAAACCGTGGCCAGCTTACGGAAAAAAATGGGACAATCATTGATTTGTTGTACCCTTTATTTGTTGATGATATAATTTGCGAAAGGTAAGCTTACATATGTGTGTAAATTCATCATTTATGCCTGGTTTGACGGACATGGATATGACTAATAAGTGCAGCCGGTCAAACCAATTTCCTTACGTAAAGCAGAAGGTTTTCATGAGTCAATAGCACTCTAAAAGTTAATTTTCATTAAACCTATCTCGTTTCTTGTAGATACATTCGGAATCCCAAAATGTAACACATTTATTGGTAAGACCATCAAGACATAGATATAGGGTAAACAATTTATTTTCAATTTCCAGAAAACCTAGGCTAAGTTACGAACTTGTCGTGTGATTTGGCGCAAAAGAAGCTTTCTCGTAGAGGATTAACAACTATCTGTTTTAAAAATTCTAATTTCAAAGAACTTTGATGTTTTTTTATAGAAGTGTAGGATCGTTGTGTTGCAAGTATTCCTCGGTAATCAAATACCTATCTTCCAAATTTCCTCCTGGACGTCTCCATTATTTAGCAACATATATCCGCCTTATTACCTACATCTTCCCTTTTCATCTCACAAAGTTCAGCATTCTCTCGCCCTTGTCGCATCAGAAACCAAAAAAATGAGAAATAATGAATGAAGTTCTGGTGGATCTATTATGACCATTTCAGCCCCCGGCGTCCAGCAATAGGTTGCGGTGAGGGATTATTTAAACGAGGAAGTTACTTTATCGTATTGGTCAACAGCAGACGTCAGCACTGTACTGTTGAGGATTTCATGCTACTAGCATGTGGGTTTCAGTGTCCAGTGCCACTATCCACTACCAAGTATTTTCCAGACCTGGAATTCCAGCCCGCATATTGTTCGCTCGCTCCAGTATTCCAGGTCTGCGGAGCATGTCGGTTTCCGTTGACACCGTAGCATGGATCGTTATCCATAAATTGGGAATTTTTAACGAGATTTGTTTAAGGACTTTTAGTATGGCTAGTCCCTGAAAAAATTTTCACCTGCTTTGTTTGAGACTGTAGTCTAGCACTTTGCTCAGGAACCTCGCCACAGGTCAGTGGTAGCATACAAACTTATTCACCGATGCAGTAGCATTGTCGTTGGCGGTTTACCATTGCTCATTTTACAGCTGACTTATGCTGAGAGCCTTTCCCCTTCTCACCACCCGCGAAAGTGCTGATTAGCCAGCAGCTGAGCTAATACTTGATTTGCGGCCATTTTTCGCCTTCGTAATACACGGATCCAACGTTAAAGATTTATTATGCAAACTTGCAATTCTTCTGTGATAGAAAGTGGGACAATTAAAACTAGACTCTGACGGAGGAAAAATGACAATTTGGTGTTAACTTATTATCGTGTTTCTGATTCTCCTTTATTGGTCACTTATTTTGTTAACATGTGGCTTTCATGGAAATCTTGTCTTTTAGAGTAAATGCTGTGCTTTCTACTCGTGCCAGGACCGCCCTTTGTTTATAAAGGCCACTTGTTTGGTTCTTGGATTTTTTGGCTCTGTCGTTTCTGTTTTAAACTATTTCATTTTCGCTGCAGTCGTTAAGTTCACACATCCGTACCGAAGTCGTTTCATCGACCAATGTTGCCCCATTGCATTCAGTAGCAGGAAAATTAAAACGGTTTTTTGAGAACAAAATATAGGGCAGAAGGGAGTGACAAGGTGCGGACATTTTATTTGCATCACTTGAGTAACTTGTATCTGTTGTCTTTGTCTACAAAATAATTTTTAAGCTTGAAGTTTCTGTCTACTTGCTCCATATTACATCGTGCGTTGAGTTGGATATAAAACTCCAGGCTTCTTTAAATCAAAATTGTAAGCTCTAAGACGAAGGAATTAATGCATGCGTAACGTTTGAAATCTCTTGAGGACTCTATGCCTCCGTATTATGAATTCGGTTTATGATTGCTCCTTGGTGCTGGTACTTATTTTTTACTTCATCTTTATGCCAAATATGTTATAATATTTTCTATCGCCTTAAAAATGAGTATCTTACGACCGTTAACTCAAGAAAAACTCGCATCCTATTGGACGGTTTCAAATAAACTCCTCTCCTGTTTTGAAATCATTAATCAATTTGTAAAATAAAATAAAAATTACACGTCCTTTTAGCTCCCGGTGGTTTCATGGTCATTTGACCGCGAATGAGGCTCAGAATCTGCTTCTCGAGAAAGGAAAGAACGGAAGTTTTCTTGTTCGAGAATCTGTACGCCAGCCCGGTTCCTACGTCTTATCCGTTGTTACCGGGGATTGCGTCTCACACATCCTCATATGCCGCAAGCCCAATTCTAAGTTCGACATTGGCGGTGGACCCGAGTTCTCTTCACTAGGTCAACTCATTGACTACTATAGCCAGTCACCCATGATGGACAAAAATGGTGGACTCGTGTGTCTTAAACAGGCTCGTTTCGTTTTTACCTCCAGTTTAATCGCCGCTATGTTTTCCTCAATTCCCTCTATGCATAACCATCCTCTTTGTCCTATTATTTATATTGTTTTTATTCATCCACCCCCCCTCACCTCCTTACACCAGCTTTCTCGCATTTAGCCTCTTTGAGGCCTGCTTTTGTGTTCATTGTTTACGATTTCTGTACTTACTCTTCACAGCCGTTCAATGCTACGCGCCTTAATGTGTCTACCCTGGATAAACGCATCGCGCAGTTAGAGAAGCAAAAGAGTCGAGGCCAGTATCTGTCAGGTTTTCTGGAGGAGTTTGAAGAACTTCATCAGGACACACATGAAGTACGTTGAGCCTGTCTCACCCCTCCCCCCACTCTTCTCCACGCTAGCCACTTTCTCTTCCGCCATATAAATACTTCTCTGCATATAAAGGCACCAAGGACGGAGGGAAGTCGCCCCTATAACCAATTCCGTAATCGCTACAAGAACATCCTCCCCTTCGATTCCACTCGGGTCGTCCTGCTGGATGCAAATCCCGCTGATCCTGGCTCCGATTATATCAATGCAAACTACATCGTACCACCGGTACGCACCTGTTCTGCCTTTTACTTTTAATTATCCTAAAAAAGGTTCCATGGCTCCCGTTAAAATTTCTGCTAAATCTTAATGCATCGACTTCCCATCAAAATTCCACACTTGTCATAAACGTTGCGTGTTTTCCATGAAGGGATTTCATCTCAAGTTCCCCTGTGTCATTAGTTAGAATTATCCTTTTCACTTCTGAGAGCGATTGTTTGACCGTAATTTGACCTAAATAAGACACTGCGCTATGGGTATTTGTGTTACCGCATCCTTAGTCACTATTCCCGCCACGGAATAGTAAGCGATAGGTCTATTTAGGAAGTTTTCAAAAGAGTTTTCTGAAAGCGGAAACCACCCTGTCTTATGCATTTAGTTTAAGATATTATCGGAGCCTTCTTTTTATTGTATAATCTATATTCCGTGATACGTTGTCGAAGAATTAGTTGAGAAATATGATAGGTCTCATCCTTGTCCTTATTTGACAATGCGGGTTTCCTTGCATAAGATTATTTCTTGTCAGTAATACACCAAAAATGCTTCGATTACGAAATATTTGAATGCTTGTATCATCTCTTGCTGGGCATTACGTGAATGTATCTTCGAGCTTCAAACTTATACACCTGATTTAGCTGGGATTGCGAACGATAATAAAATCGCAAGTAGGTTGCTTTAGGCTGTCTCGTGCTAGTGGCAGTCATCACTGAGTTTCGACGCTACATTTTTTACAGATTGAGGCAAATATTCAAGCTCCAGGTGTATGTCTAAGTAATAGAGAGCGAAATGGATCAAACTGAGGAG